GCCTGTTGGGCCTTCGCTGGAGTAGTAGGAGTCTGTGGGCCGGGGTTCCCGGGCCATATACTCCATCACCAGGAATCAGCCGAAGGGTCATCACCCACCGCCTCTCGGAGGACCCTTCGGCTAAACCAGTACAACAACGGAGGAGACCCCTCTCGTCTGAGAGGAGGGAATTTGTGAAGAAGGAGGTCGCCATGCTCCTCTTTATCAAGCACATCAAGGAGGTAAAATATCCCTCATGGCTGGCGAACGTAGTCCTCGCACAAAAACCGCCCTCATTCCGCATGTGCGTGGACTACACGGATCTCAACAAGGCGTGTCCCATGGACCCCTTTGCCTTGCCGAATGTTGATCAACTTGTGGATGAAACTGCGGGGTGTGAAATCATGTCATTTCTCGATGCATTCCGCGGGTATCATCAAATCTTTATGCATGAGGAAGACGCTGAAAAAACAACCTTCATGACTCCCGATGGCATCTTCTGCTACCTTGTCATGGCCTTTGGCCTAAAGAACTCAGGCGCCACCTACACCCGGATGGTGGCCAGGGTCTTTCAAGCTGTCCTAGGGCGCACCATGGACGCATATGTTGACGACATGATCGTCAAAAGCAAGCAATCAGCAAGCCATGCTGACGACCTAAGGGAAATCTTCGCCATCATGCAGAAGTTTAACCTTCGGCTAAACCCGAAGAAGTGCACCTTCGGCGTACAAGGGGGCAAATTCTTAGGCTACATGGTGAGCCGAAGGGGTATCGAGGCCAACCCCGAGAAGATCCAGGCCATCATCAACATGGAACCCCCACGCAACGTGAAGGAGGTCCAACGGTTGACAGGCCGCCTGGCAGCCCTCAATCGCTTCCTATCAAAATCGACAGAGAAGTCCTTACCCTTCTTCCACATCATGAGAAAGACCGCCGGTTTCCAGTGGACTTCAGAGTGTCAGGGGGCCTTCGAGGAACTGAAACGGTACTTATCTTCACCCCCTGTGCTCTCTAAACCCAAGGTGGGGGAGACCCTATACCTTTACCTGGGTGTTAGCCCGACAGCCATCAGCTCAGTACTCATCCGGGAAGAGGATGGCACCCAACATGCCATCTTCTATGTTAGCAAGACCATCAGGGAAGCAGAACTCCAGTATTCCCCTGTGGAAAAAACGGTGTTGGCTATCGTGTGGACTGTCATGAAGTTGGGCCATTACTTCCAAGCTCACCCGGTCCAGGTCCTCACTCACCAACCCCTCGGCGCTTTGATGAGGAGCCCCACCAGCTCCTCCCGAATGGTAAAATGGGTTGTCTTCCTGAGCCAATACAACATCGACATCCGTCCTAGGCCCGCCATCAAGGGCCAGGCCCTAGCGGACTTCGTGACAGAGTGCACGGCAAGATCAGCCACAGACGAGGAGCCCTCGGCCCCCTCGGACGATTGGTGGATCCTCTACACCGACGGCTCCTCCGCTGTCAAAGCATGTGGAGGAGGGAGGGGTGGTTCTCATCTCACCCGAAGGCTTTCGGGCCTATTATGCTGTCCGCTTCTCCTTCAAAGTCTCCAACAATGAAGCCGAATACGAGGCCCTCCTCTGTGGCCTTCGGCTGGCAGCTAACATGAAGGCCCGACAGATCCACGTCAAGTGCGACTCCAAGTTAGTTGTCGTCCAAATTTCCGGGGAGTACGAAACCAAGGAAGGGAGAATGATGCAGTACAAAGAAGCGGCCAAGGAGTTGATTAAGGTATTCGAGGCACACTCTCTTACTCAAATACCGAGGGCTCAAAACTCTGAGGCCGACATTTTATCGAAGCTTTCGGCCGAATCCCCCGAGCATATCTCAAAGATTGCCAAAATCGAGGAACTCAGCCTCTCCAGCATACATGCTAGCCCCATCATGCACATACAACAAAGGCAAGAGGACTGGATCTCAGATATTGTCGCCTTCATCACCACAGGGCAACTGCCCGAGGATGAGGCCCGTGCCAAGCTAGCAAAGCTGAGGGCTCCCAGCCACGTTATCGAAGATGGAAGGCTTTATAAAAGATCGTACAATGGGGCGTTACTTCGGTGCCTTCATCAAGATGAAGCCGAAGTTGCAATGGAGGAAGTGCACAGCGGCACTTGTTCAGCTCACCAGGGACCCTTCTCCATGTTTCGAAGGCTCATAATCCAGGGCTACTTTTGGCCTACGATTGCCCGAGATTGTGCGGATCTCTCCCGAAGGTGTACCCGCATGCCAACACTTCCAGAAGGCCCCCGGAAGGACAGTGGTCAACTATGCCCCCATCAGCACATCCATACCCTTCGCTCGATGGGGCATAGACCTTGTGGGCCCTCTGCCGAGGGGTACCTCCAACAACAGGTACATCATCGTCGCCATCGACTACTTCACCAAATGGGTGGAAGCTGAGCCCCTCGCCATCATTACTGAGGCCAGGTGCCGTCATTTTGTTCTCAAGAACATCCTCACAAGGTTTGGCGTCCCCCAGCAAATCATCTCCGACAACGGGACTCAGATTGAGGCAGCCCCCTTCTGTGCCCTCCTAGAGGCATGGGGCATCAAACACACATTCTCATCCGTTGCCTACCCTCAAGGCAATGGTCAAGTGTAAAACGCCAACCGGACCTTGTTCGAGGGCCTAAAGAAGAAGCTGGAGGCCGAAGGGGGTGGTTGGGTAGACGAGCTCCACAACATCTTATGGGCCTACCGCACCACCCCTCGACGAGCAACAGGCGAGACACCATTTTCCCTTTGCTACGGGTTTGAAGCTAAGGCCCCCACTGAGATAACTCTTCCGACCCGAAGGGTCACACAATATGACCCCGAGGTCAACGACGCCAATATGGCCCTCGACCTTAACCTTATTTCAGAACGTCGAGAGTGAGCCTTCATATGCGCGGAAAACTACCGAAGGCAAGTGAAGAGTTACATTGACGCCAAAGTCCGCTCCTGGGAATTTCAAGTGGGGGACTATGTCCTCCAAAGAAGGGAAGCTAGCCAACCAACCGAGGGCGGCAAGATGGCACCAAAGTTCGAAGGCCCCTACATTGTGGCGGCCATCATCAAACCAGGAACTTACAAACTTAAACGCCCCAATGGGACCGAGGTCCCTAGACACTGGAATGTACATCACTTAGTTAAATTTTATCAATAACATTAGAGCGGCCAAGCCCTCATAACTAGTGAATGTATTATTTTGCGGCCCAAGGCCTCCAATTTTTGAAGAATGAAGGCATATTGAAGACATCAAGAACATGGAACGAGACTCTTATGAGCGGCGAAGCCCTCATATCAGCCTCCGGCCCAAGGCCTTATCACAAGTAAGAACCCTCGGCACAAAGTGCCGAGGGTAGACTATACTATCACCTACAACAGGGAAGAAAGCACCAGATGTCTTCAATGAAGGCCCCTCGGCACCCAGTGTCGGGGGCATACACTACTATCAGTTTTCAACAAGTGAAGAAAAATACCAAGTGTTTTTCAAAGAAGACCCCTCGTCGCTAAGTACCGGGGGCCGTATACCGGAACAAACACCAAGTGTTGTTTCTAAAGCCGTACCCCTCGAGGACGCATATACCGAAGGCACCACCTATCGGTGCCGGAAGCACGTAGTGCCCCCGGCCATTTGCAACCAGTGTGCAAATGAAAACCCTTCCCTGAAACTCTTTCTGCGTCATTACCCCAAGGGTATGACATGCATGTAATATGCCCAGGATTCGACTTTCAAAAACGGAACGCTTTCCGCGCCATTTCCCCTAAGGATTGGCAGGCATCTAATATGCCCAGGATTCGACTTCCAAATCGAAACGCTCCCCGCGCCACTACCCCAAGGGTGTGACAGGCCACGGACTATGTCTGGCGCCGAGGGGATGACTTTCAAAACTGAGGCGCTTTCCGTGCCATCTCCCAAGGGGAGGCAGGCTACAGACCATGTCTTGTGCCCAGGAAACGACCCTCGATCCCCTCGGAACTCGGAAGGTTAACCCGAGGGGGGAGCTAATCGTGTCTTCTATTACCTCCCGATAGGCCAAGCCTTACCAAGAAACCAAGTTTCTTGAAGCCTTCCCTTCACTACCAAAAAAAAATGGGGTGGTGAAGGGGAGTAGACTCAGCGAGAAATCAATGAGTACACCACTCCAACAAATCACGGGAACATACCGAGGGCTCCCCACGGGAACACCTTCGGTACCTGGAAGCTCCTGATTACCAAAGATACTATACAACAAATGCCATCAGATGTTGACCAAGTCCAAGCGAGAATCACCTCCGTCACCTCACTAGACGCCGAGGGGATACACCCAGGCATGGCCCGAGGAAGTCTGTCTTTTTTTTCATGCTGCACTTGGACTACAAAATTTCCTAAGTCAACACTGTGGAGACACGACAACAGCCGAAGGCTCTTGTTGCCACAGGCCAATCTTGCGAGACAAGGGAAATTATTCTAGGCCCACAAAGTAGGCTGCCCTCGGAGACTGCCACTATGCCGAAGGGTCCCCTCACCGAAGGGTCCCCTCACCGAAGGCCAGCAACAGGAAACACTTAAAAAAACTTCTAAGTCATAAAGCGTGTGGCCCTCAGCAAACTCACTTTGCAACGAGGGTCACCCCACTTCATGCAACAAGAAAGGCCCCACATGCCAAAGGCCAAGTGATATTCAAACATTTAGAAAGATTTCTAAGTCCTAAAGTGCTGGACCCTCTATCATTTAACTGAAGGCACACTACGACAAGGCTCTCACGATCATTCGAAGGCTCTTATCTCGTACATCTGGAGGGATCCACTAACCGAGGGCCCAACGTCTAAATTACGCTTGGAAATTTTTCTAAGTCCTAAGCGCTTTGCCTCCGTTCATCTCATGAAGGCTACACAGAATCAGAGGGAAGGAATTAGCCGAGGGCCAAGAGATGAACAACACTTAGAAAAAAATTCTAAGTCCTGAACGTTTGGCCCTCGGGGAAATATTCAGATGACTAAAGGGGCCTAGTAGCCGAGGGCTACGGGATGCACTATACTTAGAAAAATATTTTCGAAGTCCTAAAAGTTGGCCCCTCGACCAAAATACCATACAAACATACATTCATTCACAAGGCATATTAGAAGGCATCCATTTCACAAAACAATTTGAAGGCATACATCCAAAAGGAAAAGAAGATTATATATAAAAGGCTCGAAGGCAGACATCCATTCATCAACAGGGAATAAAAACTTGTTATACACAAAGTCCGAACCCGAAAAGATGTACATGTTCGTTACAACAAATGTTTTTCAGAATTATGAAACAACAACATCATCAGCTGCTGCTGCCTCACCCCCTTCGGCAGCTTTCGACGTGGCGTCCCCCTCGGCCCCTTCCTCTTCCTCCCCGACCTCCTTCAGCAGCTCAGAATCCTCTAATTCTGACCTTTCAACACCTGCAGGGAGGGGGACTCTGATATCTGGTTAGAGGGGGGGAGGCCATATGTCGCCGAATCGAAAGCCTCCGGTTCAATCTTCAGGTGCCGCGCCAGCCTTCTGTAGATCAGGATCTGGGTAAAAAATCCCCCAGCATAGTAGTCTTCGCCCTTTCGGGCTAACCACATCGCCCCAGGGCCTTTCACCCACCCGTCGACAGATTCCTCCACGACCGAAGCCACCCAGTCTTCGTGGCCTTCTGCCCTCCACCCCCCGGCCATGAAAGAAGCGACAGCACCGGCGGCGGCCTCCGCTTTGGCGGCCTCTGCATCCTCGGAGGCTTTCTTCGCGGCCTCAGCAGCGGCCCTCCCGACTTCAGCTTTCTTGTTAGCCGCCTTCTCCACCGCAGCCTTCGCCTGCTGAAGGTCCCCTTCTAGCTGGGCCATTTGCCTCACGGCCTCGGCGTTATCACGGATGAGCTTCTTCATAGTCTCATCCTGTTAGGCCTTCTGGAGGCGCCACTCATCGAATCTCCTGGCATGCTCACCGAGGGCTATGCAAGCATGTTAACAACAAAATAAGGGGGTAAGGCTACTATCATGCAACAGATAGAGGAGGAAGACCACTGTGCAAAAAAAATTACAGTGAGGGAGGACCGGAGGATCTTTGACTCGAGAGCCTCATCGTCGAGCTTTCCGAGGGCCTTCCTGTCCAACGAAGGAGTAGCCCCACCAAGGAACTCCCGAGGGTCCACAGTGCCATGTGTAATGGAGGCACCCTTCGGCAGAGAGAACCGTATGTCCTCACGGGGCAAACCTACCTCACCCCCCTGGGCCGAGGGAAGGTTGGAAGCGGTCACCGCCACTTGAACATGGGGCTCAGAGGTGGAGTGCTCGTCCACGACCACCACCGGGGGAGCCTTCTTCCCAGCATCCCCCTTCTTTTGTCTCTTCCCCTCGGGGATTGGACCTTTGCCTGCTGCCTTCCTCTTGGCAGCTTCGTCCGAGGGCTCACCACCCTTTTTCAAGAATTCCCCGAGGGGCTTCTGCTGCCCCTCGGGGATTGGACCTTTGCCTGCTGCCCGGGACTTTGGCTTTCTGCTTCTTGAGAGCGGCGAAGGCGTTAAGATCCATGCTGATACCTGCAAAAGAATGGAGACGGTTTAGGCCGAAGGAGCAAAGGTGCAAAAAATATCTACGTCTAACAAAGAAAAATATTCCTAAGTCTAAAAATTG